TATTACTCACTTAAAGGCAAACCAGAAAATGTAATGCATCCCACCACCTGTGTTCTCGTGACACAGGGGTTATTTTCTAGGCACAAACTGTGCTCACTCAGTTCATTTTTCCCTCATTGTTTCACAGGACAGATACATCTGTAGTGGAGCTGCCCGTTAGCGCTTTCACTGAAATATGAATAACTGTGCTTGAGCCCGGAAGACTAGATTCTATGGGGAAGGAAGTCAAGGCTTCCCCAAAGGTGCTGGTGTTTAGGGTGGGGAACTAGCCAGTCCTCACCAAGCCCACAGTGCTGATCATGACCTCACAGTGAACATGCCTGGTCACAGAGCCATCTCTTCAGCCTTCCTCATACATTTGAAACAGAACTATAAGATACTTTTATAAGAACTCTAAAAATTAAATTTGGGGAACAAACTCACACAAGGTATCGTGATTTATGAATGTTAACATGTGAGATGGTCAAAATGAAACATACCATCATTGGGATTCCAGGAAGAAAGACGACGCTGCCACCTGGCCATACTTCCCTCTCTCTGTCTCCATTGTTCTTGTATTTTAGTGGGGGAGGGCAGAGTATAAACAAAGACATAAGTAGGAAATACTATGCCCATGAATGGTGGGGAGGGGGGAGTCTAACCTCAGAAGAGGTGTTTGAATGAGTGCTTACTGAATAAGAGAGATTTGAGGAGAAATCTGTCTGATGGGAAAGTAAGGCTGGTCCATGTGTGGAAGAAGAGACTTCAGAAAAAACCCAGTGTGGTGTATCGTGTGCATTTAGGTGGCTTGAGTGTTAGTGCTCCACTGCCAACACTGAGTGGCTTTGACTTTCAATTTGGAGGAAAGAAGTCCTAAAAGCAAGGTGCCTTCTGGGCTAAGTCTCTTCTAGATGCTCTTTGGGAGAACTGACACTTTCTCCAACTCATAGATGTCATCTACATCTCTTGGTTCATCATCTTCACACCAGAAGCCTTTGGCGGGAATCTGACCCCTTGTGCCGGCATCTGCCCTTCTGGCTTTCCATCTTGAAAATACTATGGTCACCATGGACCCCAGAACTATTCCAGCCATAACCTTCCCAGTTCTACATCTCACACCTACAAAACCTACTCTTCTGTAAAACATTACATTTTCACAAGCCTAAGGATTAGGACCCAGGTGTCTTGAGTGGGCGGGGCCCTATTTTGATGAGCACCTGGGGCTTGTGACATTCACTGATTTAGAATATAGAAGAGCTCTAAATGGCCTTGATATTTAGTCTGCACTCGGAAACCCATGCCAAAAGCTTTCCAGAGGAGGTGGCAGGCATCAAGGCTCCTTAACACCACCACTCCCCCAGGTCAGCCCACTCACTGCCTTGCTAGTGTTCAAGACCACGGTTTTAATTTTCTGTTGGCAGTCTGATCTCCTCTTTCTACCTGCAAGTTTGCACTCCACGAGTGACCACAAGCAGAGGTGCATTCTCTGTGCACAGTGCTTGTGATGCACTTTGATAGCGAGAGACGCAGTCGTGTTAAGAGGACCATCTCACTAGCATGATTATGCAGAACATTACAGTAAAACGGAAAGGAAAGGGAGGCTTTGCGAAAGCCAACCTCTCCTTCCAAGGGGACCGTTGCTTATCTATTCCATTCATGCAACTCAGCATCCCAGGAGTGCTAGAGAGGAGAGATGGGATTCCATCCATGCTTCTCAATCTGCTCCTTTTCCTAAATAAACCTGAACCCTAAATTTATATTGACTTTCTAAAAGTATCTCCGTCTGCATCTCTGCCTCCCTCCTTACTTCCTACACGAGATCCAGCTCTATTTATCCCCAAACTCCCATTCCTCTTTGTCATTCTCCTCCCTTAAGATGTACAAGGTAAACCATTCTCTGGCGCCTCCCAGAGCCACTGCCCAAGTGGAACCAGGGCTGAGGGTTCCACAGTTCTTGTCAGTTGGGTCTAACCTCAGGTGTCCCTCACTAGTTCTATTCCCTGTACTCAAACTCCCCCTACTCGCTTTATAAAACTCTTGAAACAGAGACCTTGCTGGGGCCATTAAAACCTCTCAGTAGGTAAGCGTCTTGCACTTTTTAGGGAAAAGCCAATACTTAGATGAACTCTTTGAAGAATATTTCCTTGGCCAGACATAACACTGAGTTAAGACACCAACATTATACCCATGAATCACAGCCCTACAAGTTGCCGCCATCTTGAGTTCTGTCTGTCTCAGGCCAGCTTCTCTGAAGTCTGGGTTTCTGTCATAGGTAAAGCACATAAGAGCATGCATTATACATAGATTGTCCCAAGGTGCTCTCACCCTGCAACACAGTCATGCAAATGTGGCCACTGTAGCTCTCATAAATCAGGGTGATTTTATGACCGCTGTCTACTTTCAGGAACTGGGACTTTGCTCCACCCAAGATGGATCCCTTTGTAGATAGAACTGGAGTGTAATTTGTTGGGAATTTTACTTTTCACTTTAGTCATAACCATGCATGTTCTTACTCCAAGCATCTGTCTTGCAGAAGGCTTTACCTGACATTTATTAGCATGCTTTCCAAAGGCCAACAGGAGAAGGGCATCTGACAATATTTTGAAAATGGAGCTGGGGGATCAATTGCCTTCTGGCATCTTGACCTTGAACTTTTACTCCATCGGATGCTGTGTTTGGTGAATACACTCAGCCACTTGTCCATGCAGTGGATCTGTGCTCAGAGGTGTCTGGACACATTGAGAATAGTGCCAGAATCTCTCTCTACTTGTTTTCTGTGTTTCTACTTCTAGATATTACTTCTGATAGTATTAACAAAGTGGAAAATCCCATTTTGATCTTAGTTCTGAGAACTGTAGATCTGTGACGACCTTAGAGACCAGTTGGGCCAGCTTTCTTGTATGATTACCAGGAGCAAAGTGCAAAGTGTTGCTAGTAGCCTCAAATTGTTAGACACAGGAAGACTGATTGCATATGAGGCTATGGTGGGGGACCGTAGAACAACATCTATCGACTCTAATAAGAATAGTGATGCTCTGCAGACCACAGGCATGGTGCTTTCATCACAAGTGAATCAACCAATGGTAAAAAAAAATATCCCTACTAGTGTACCATGACAGATCTCTCCACAAAAACCTTCAGTGTCTGAGCATCCCCTTCTAATAAGTGATGAGATGTTCACCAGTGCAAAACAGGATCAGAACCCTGAGATCTGACTATTCCCAGTGTAGTATGTAGTAATGTAACTTGTGAGACAGCCAATAAGACCTAAACAATCCTAATGATTTACCTCAGCCCTTTCCATCCTTCTCCGAATTTGGAGTGAACTTGGAATAAACCTTCGCAATGGAGTCGAAAGTAGTTAGACTTGAGTGTCGAGAGCTCACATGACAGGTGCCTGTAGATACGTCCTCCTCTTGATCTACTCTGATCTTAGCTGGTCAACAGCATCACCGTTAACACATCTTTAAAGGCACTTGGATATTGGTTTACATTTAAGTACATTAAGCGGGTCTGGTGGAAGTTTTCTGTTGGGCAGCTTTGGCTTACGTGGTTATTTTACAGCTAAACTCTTTATAAGAGTTAGAAGAAAATGTCCCCCTTTCTTTGCAGCTCCCCCCCCTCTCTCTCATGGAGATTCATGTGGTAGGTCTGAAGTCTGCAATGTAAGCAAGAGCTTGCACTCAGTGACTGTCTGCCCTGAGTCAAGGACTCTACTGGTTTTCTTAAAAAAAAAAAAAAAAAAAAATCTTAAGAGGCAGATGCTATCTCTTAGTTTAAAGGAGAGTGACCTGAGCGAGAGAGAGTCTCTCACTAATGGCAGAATCACTTTTCAGGGATGAGAAATACATTCACAATGTAGACATAATAGTAGTGCAGTCCTCCCTCAGGGAATATGATTTCTGCCTCTTGTCCCATGGGTCTAGAATAAAAAGGGAGGGTTCTACAGACACTCGTTGTATGCTGATGGACAACCTGGACAAAATAATTATTATCTCAAGCGCAGATGAGGCTGTACATACTGCAGGGCAGCTGGTTGTTTTTACATTGGGTGTTTTAACTCAGCTCCTTTTCTATATAAAACTTTTTCACAGTAGGAGAAAGAGCTGGCCCCCTCACTAAAAATGTTTGCCATGGATTTTAAGCTCAGATGATGGTCTGAACCCTACTGAAGCACAAAGACAATGCACAGTTCTTGTCCCTTTATCTAAGACCTGCTTCCTTTAGCTTTTCTTACCGAATCAAAGCATGGGGGTTTCTTTCTGTGCTTAAATATTCTGAGGAGTAAATAACTGTAGATTCACATCTAAATAACGGCTAGGCTTATGCAGATAGAAACAACTTCTAAAAAATGCCCGGTGTGATTTGTTACCTCAACATGTTGATGTTAGGACCAAATGTCAAAACGGGTTAGATGTCTCACAAGTTAAAAATGTTTGTAGCTCTTAAGTTTTGAGCAAATATGCAACTTCCTGCCAGTTTCTCCGAGGACCTTCTATGTCTCACTACTAGGAATCTTACTGTTAATGCAATGCAAACTTGTTCAAGTGGAGAGCATGCATTTCTTTTATTATATACATTTTTTTTTTTTTTGTTTTGGATGGAGGAAATTTCAGTGCTTTTCTTTCTTTTAAACTGCCCGTAGTATTTTCTATTCACAGATGTTGTGTTTTGAATCAGATCTATCAAAGTGTAAAACTAGGTGGATAGTTTCCTTCCCTTTGAAATGAAATGGACTTGCCTTGTGCAGTGTTCTTAGGTGAATTTTCTTGTTTAAGAACCCAGAATACAAGAGAGTGCTATATTAGTGCATTATTCTCACAGCAAACAAGCACCGTTCTGTCGCTACCTGCTTGGCCATTGTTTCTGATTGTGTGTGCCGTGCAGCGCTGTTTGGATGGCTTCCTGCTCTCTGCCAGCACAAAAAGCCATTTCTGTTACAATGGCCCCTAACCACACAATGGCGGCATTAAGGATTTATGTGGAGGTTTCATTATTTTCTCCTCTTTTGTTCCTTCCAGGATGTCTTCCAAGCGACCAGCCTCTCCGTATGGGGAGACAGATGGAGAGGTAGCCATGGTGACAAGCAGACAGAAAGTGGGAGAGGAGGAGAGCGAGAGGCTCCCAGCCTTTCACCTTCCCTTACATGTGAGTTTTCCCAACAAGCCTCACTCTGAGGAATTTCAGCCAGTTTCTCTGCTGACGCAAGAGACTTGTGGTCCTAGGACCCCCCCTGCTCAGCGCAACACAATGGTAGGTCTCTCATGGTGTCCCTGTCCGCCAGTGTAGTCCTCTAATAGCTTGGCTTCAGTCTTTTGCTTGACATGATCGTGCGTTTAAGAAACTCAGGCCTCATAAAATTCCTTCAAGTAAGCAGGCTCCACAAGGAAACATAAACCGTGTTTAGTTCTTTGTTACCTGCTTCTGACACATGATTAGGGGGAAATCCATACAAAATGGAATAATGATCGTGCTAAGACGGTATTGGCTAAAGTTACCCAGGATCAAAGTTGGCTTCTTATTCTTTCTCATGCAATGTTAAAGAAACATTGGTGGTAAATGCTTACCTTCATCATTGTTAATCATCGTGGGTCAAATAGTTTTCAATCATTTGACCGTTTGACCAGATTTTCCCGCCAATTTTAGCTAATACATTGCACTCCTGCACTTGCAAGCGCGTGCGCACACACACACACACACACACACACACACACACACACACACACACACGAGAGAGAGAGAGAGAGAGAGAGAGAGAGAGAGAGAGAGAGAAGGAATTCAGCCCTTCTAACTACCACAGTAATTCATAACTTTCACAATAATCTAGCTAGGCATTATTATTAATTCTCTTTCATATTTGAGGAAGCTGAGTCAAGATGAAATTAAAAGGTGTTCCAGGTCATAGAAACAGGACTTTCGCAGCCATGCTGGCTTCCCGGTCCACGGTCCTGACCCTTCTTCATGGAACTCAGGCACAGTTCATGTCTTCTAGTCTGTCCCTGGGCAAGCTCAATCCCGTTCTCTGCAGGTGCTCCCTCTTCCTGACTTGGTCACTGACCACCCAGTGCAAGGCTGCAGGAGAAGGGGGCAGGTGGGTGAGGGACATGAGGTCAGCGGCCAGACTCCCTGTCTGCTACTGTGTCTCCGCGACATCTCATCTGCTTATCATTTTGACGACTGCCTGCTCTCAGGCGGTACCCAACTAAGTAAGAATGGTCCTCAGATGGATTTCTCCTGTGACAGTGACACATGTACACACCTCTGAAGGGCTGAGTATAAATAGTGATGGCTTCAGCAATGGCTCCAAGGTAATTTTGAGCATATTCAAAGATGAATGACCCACCCTGAGAAGGGCAGGTTAAATCACCAAGCTGGTGACATTGGGGACACTGTGAAGTTCTGTGCTATGATCTGTGGGTCTCTGGGAACAGAGAGCCGATTCTGTTTCATGGGCCAGTGGGATGGTTCATGTGGAAGGGTGCTGGCCACACAGACTCAGCCAACGGAGCCACATCCCCAGAGCTCATTCCGGAAGGAGAGAAACAACTCTTGAAAGTTGTCCTCTGACCTCCATATGCACGCCTTGGTGGATGTATGTTCATGCTCACACACACACAGGCACACGATAATACTAAACAAAAGTATGCAAAAAGTTAAAACAATGGATCTGAGTTGTGCTATGATTTCCAGTGAATTCTCCAGTAGTTCTGTGACCCAAAGTGGTTGAGGTCCACCGTGGTGTAAGTTTTTAGGGTTTGAATGAGCCATCCCATATCAATGTCATCAGCGTCTGGACTTTCTCACACAGCACACGAGTGGTTTCTCCCTGGAATGTTCCTTGCATTCATCACCTTGTCTTCTTGAGTGGACACTTGAACACATCACAGCCCTAACTTCTGAGCCCTGCTGCTAGATCATTCTCCCATCTGCATCTGATTTGTTTACCTAAGAAAGGGTTGGGGTGTCTCCCTCACACTGTTGTCAAATGTGTCTGTGGCTGCTGTCCCTTTCAGGACTTAGCCCCAAATCGTCACCACCCCACACTATCATTGGGGTCCTTCCTTTGCATTCTGCATGGGACCAATGCCTCATCCATGCCCAGCATCACATGCAATCGGCAAGATGGCGGGGTACCTTCAGTGGCAGTTCTACACATCCTCCTGGGATATCTTTCTGAGTTTTAGACTTCATCCTTACGGCAAATAGTGCTTTCCCCACATGACTAAGCAAAAGGTCACCACACCCTAGATGGGTCCATTCAGTTCCTGAACAGTGGGGAGTACATTGTTCCTTCGCTCATGGCTCACTGTACCTTTTCTCAGGCGCTACACTATGACCTATGCAATGTGCACAGTGTGTCTTATCTATCCTCTCTGTCTTTCCCTCTCCCTCTGTTTCTTCCTCTTTCTCTCTCTGTCTCCACTTGTGATGATTTAATAAATACTTGATTTGATATGGCTCAACAAATACTAAGTATTTGGGGGTAAAGTTCTCCAAACATGTCAATTCTTGGTGATATTTTCTAGAGCTATAGTGATACCCACTAATGTGCTTTCTGAGAAGATATCAGAAATGAGTCTCTTAGAAAAAGATCTATTTTAAACATTTATCAAAATGGTTGAATGTATTTATGGTATTATTACCTAACATGAATAATTTCTTTTTATAATGGACTATTGTTCTGCCCACACAATAGAGTCTTATGTTTCATGAGGAAATACATTCTCTGAGTTTTTACTCAGTGTGTTTGAAAATGGAGAATGCTTCGTGTTGTAGAGTAGTTCCTGCAAGTCTGCCTGGCAGAATCAGGGAAAACCTTCCCATATAAAACCCAGGGCAAAGACACTTCTGAGATAAAAACTTGTGCACTCTGTGGCCATCTCCCACAAAGATGATGAGAGTGTTAAGGCCATGTAGGGGCCTGATAAGGATGTAAATCTGCCTCTCTGAACTAGAGCTCATGTGTATTTTCCTAGTGTTTGGAGACATGAAACTCCTGAGTAGCTATGATCAGCACAAATGCTGCCAATTGAATTCTATGTGGGCTTTTGACTTGCTTGTGGGATTCAGGCACTGGTGGTGATGATACTGTATTCTTTAAAGAAGCTCTCAGAACTTTGCCAGCCAGCTAAAAGCAGAGCCCCACTCCCTGATCATCTCCAAAAAGCTTTGCTAAACAGTGGTTCTGCCGTGACTGCGTGGCCATCCTGACCTTTAACCTATTGGTGACAAGGGTGCTTCCGAATCTTTTGTTGGTTGTATAGTTTTATAATTTTTTTTTACATATATTTGTCCTGTGTGGAGGTATAATTAACTGTCTGTGTGTATGCATGTGTGTTCTGGCACACACACACAAACACACACACACAAACACATGCATGCATGCATGCACACACATCCACACATGCACGCACACACATCCACACACATCCACACACACACACACACACACACACACACACACATACACAGGCCAAATTCAATATTGGTGTCTCATCAGGGTGTTTACACCTTATTTCGCAGACAGTGTCTTGCAGTGCATGTGGGGCCCACTGGTCCTGGCTGGCCTGGCTGGCCGTCGATCTCAGGCATCTTCCCGTCTTTTCATCCCCAGGGCTAAGACTCCAGAGGCACACTCTACCACAAGTGATTCTGATATGGGTGTTTGTATGGGTGTTTGGCTGCTAGCCTTTGCCTGTGCACCAAGGACTCTACAGACCTAGTCGAGTCATCTTCCCAGCCTGTGGGCTTTAGTTTTGTTTTGTCTGCTTCTTTACAGTGGGCTTGGTTGTTGCTTCAAAGTTCCAGAGACAAACGGGCAGCTCTGTGATTCAGGCGAGCCTGAAGGACAGTTCTGGTATGGAGCAGCCTCATGGAAGGTTCAGGCAATCTCTAGCACAGGGGCGTGGGAGTGTCCGGAGAGATGGGGGCAGCTCTGAGGAGATAAGGGCCTCTGGTGCTCACAGTGGGACAGCCCCTGGCGCTCATTTTCTGTCTGGTTGCATGCTGCATCTGCTGGTGAGCTCTCGGCTCCAGTGCAAATGCGATGGGAAATGAAAACCACCACCACCCGTGGCTCTGGAATAATCTGTTGTCTACTTTTTTTTTTTTAAGCCTATTCTGTCTCTTTCAAGCTTCCTTTTGATTCTTTAAACCATTCTTGTTTTGAAGGAACAATATGTTATTTTCAATATGAAATCATTGGAGTGGCTTGCTCTACATGTAACTGAATCTTATTTAAAAAAATAAATAAATAAGTGCACAGATACCTCTTCTTTGCATTGTTTCAGGTCCAGCCAGTAGCCTTGCACACCCTGGACAAGAGCAATGTCAATGGGCTGCACTGTAGACCTTTCCTTTAATGAGACAGGATTGTAGGTGCCATACTGCCTCTGACTCTGGCTCAAGCCATCCCCCACCTGTCAGTCTCCTGAGGGACTGGGACTAAAGTTACACCCCACTGTGCCCGGCTCTGTGTGTATATATGTGTGTGTGTGTGTGTGTGTGTGCAGATATAATATATTATAATATGAAATATATTTTATATATGAATATATTTTAGTGTCTCACTTTCGAGTTGCTATTTTTCTGGGATTACTCAGAACTGAGTCTCCATGCTCATTATGTCTCCCTATGGTGTACGTTTGAATGAATGTCCTTCCGTCCACACTGCAGAACCAGGATGCTGTGAAACAACCGTTGGTATGAGTCCACTCCCCTCCCCACCAAGTCCATCAAAGAAATTTTGCAAATGTGTTTTTTATATCACTTTTTCATAAAAGACACAGTTTGGGGGGGGCTTTCAGGTTTCCTGTAGCAGGGTTCCTGTGTGTGAAAGGCAGTCTTAATCACTGAGTTAACACCCATCCAGTGTGCGGAGAAGAGAAAAGGGCCTTCAGAAGTTCTGGGGATCACTGTCAAGCCCTTAGATTACTTTTCCACACAAGGTTATCTTTAACTGCTACATTGTAGCTGTGTGACTTTGGGTGCTTGCTTTATGAATTCTGCTTGCAAAGAAGAATCAATTATGGACTTTTTGATATCTAGGGTAAGGTCATCTATGGGATAGTATTCAGAAAACTTAAGGAAAAGAGAAGAAAATGTGTTGGTGCCATTCATAAATAACAGAATAAGAACTTAATTATGGGGTGGTAAGGATTACTGTTCTTATCTGATGCGTTCTATAAGCTTCTCAATGTCTGTAAGTCAGACTTTGCATTAAGTTCTCGTGGCATGGTTAGCACCGCTATTCA